CCCCGCTTCCTCCTCCGGAACGGGAAAAGTTTGACGCCCGTTCAGCCCAAGTCCCTGCGGCCGGAGCCCGGCTTGTGGGCGGGGGGTGGGCTTCGCCTCGGCTCATCCCCGCCGCTCGGAGGACGGCCGCTTCCCGGCGGGGAGCCCTCTGTTTTCACCTCCCCTCACCAGCCTCGGGCGGTGAACGGAGCCCCCAGGGAAGCCCCGGTGCTGGGGAAAGAGGAGCCGCCGCCGTTCCCAGCTGCGGGGCGCCCGGTGGAGCTGGACCCGGTGTCTGTCGAGCAGGGCACGGGTGTGCCGGGGGGGGAGGCAGGGTCCCGTTCCCGCGTGGGGGCCGCGGAGCTGAGCCTGCCCCGGGCTGAGGTGGGTTAGGGAGCTGTTGCAGGCGCTGCTGGTCCGGCGGTGGGTTTTCTCCCCGCTGACAGGTGAACTGTGTGTGCGCCGAGGGAGGACTCCGCTCTCCAGAGGCGGTGGGCCTGCTGGTGCCGCCGGGGTGGAGGAGAGGAAGCCTCAGGAAAGGAGCAGCTTTCAGAAATGCCTGTTGTGATGCGCGTTATAACGTTTAGGAGCACCGCACCGCTTGCCGAAGGAGCGGGGGGTAGATTTGAGTCCGAGGTTTTTTTTGAAAAGTGCAATAAATTGTCCAGATCTCTTAAGACGGCACAAAGGAGGTTGTGATGAAAATGGATTGGGTATCCCAGCTAGCTGTCGTTTGGCCTTCGTTACCAGTTCCATTTCGAATTACATCATTAGTCATGTGCTGATGGGCAAGCAGTTGGTAGTTTGAGACTACTGGCATGCTGCTGTCATTCACGATGCATGCGGGGACTGTCCTGCCAAGGAGCCCCTATCCAAGCAGCATAAGCTGCAGAGCAGAGGCTGTGCACTGAGTTTTAATGTTGTTTAAATCTTCTGCGCTTTGTCCCATCAGTCACATGAAGACAGCAGTCTCCTGCAAAGTATGAATGATTTTTCCAGGTAATGGGTTACTTGTGGGCCATGGGTCAAGCCTGCCACGCTTTGTGTCCTGATCTTTGGTTCGTGTTTGCGTGTGTGTTTGCGATCCCATTTTTTTTGCTCGTGTAAACCTGGCATGTGGCTGATCTGAGGTTTATGTGACCATTTGTCTTTGGGGTAAGTACCCCAGGGAGGGAAGGACAGATGAATGGGTGGAGAGAGGGTTTGGGGGGATCTTGTGCTCCTAAGAAGTATAGAATTGCAATAAGAGGGAGAAGGAGTAACCTGAAAAATGCCTGCGTTATTTCATTGTGAGAAAATGGACTAAGCCTTTAACAGCTCTCTTGTTTTTTCTACTTGTAAAGAAAGAATGTTTTAGGCAAGAAAAAGTAAAAAAAACACATTTAGAAGCTGAAGGAAACTATTAAAGAGGAAAAACAGAAGCTAGTACATGTATTCACTAGAAAATAAGTAACAGGAGAGGCAACAGAAATGCAGTAAGATCAGAGATATAACAAGAAGTGCGATTACCTTATGTGAAAATGATAAAAATATTAAAGCAGAAGCTAGAGAAAGGGAAACAACATAAATACATTATTTCAAAAATGTTACTGGTCATTGCATTTAAGTGAGCATAATGGTTGAGTTATTCCTGTATATGATTTTGAACAATGCTGCTTCTTGAGATAGGTAATGAGCTGCTGATATAGATGTAGTTTTGTTTAGGATGCTAGAGGTGAGTAACAGTGCCAGCCATTGTAATTATGTTATGACAAATCCTCTAACAAGACTCTTACATCGATGAGTATGGTTGCAGATTTGCTGTGCGCATAAAAAAAGGAGTAGACAAAACTGCTTAATGTTTTCCTCTCAGCTTCGGTGTATTGAAGGGTAATAGTGTGATTGTTATGGATGTGACTGCAATTCTGTCCCCTTTCTGGTCTCTAAGTCCAGTCCTTGAGGTAAGTAGTGTACTGCTTGTAGGCGTCTTTGGCTGAAATGTTCTCCTGTCCCTAGAGCACAGGATCTGGCAACAGGGTCCTGTCTGTGCTAACTGCTTTTCAGGTCAGAATACATAGAAACTGCTTTTCCCATGTCATTTAACACAACTTCTTAGAAATCCAATACGTAAATTACATAAGGGGATATAGATCAATAATCCTTACTGAATGGTGTGCATCCATCACCATTATAAAAGCAGGCAGACTAGCAGGGATACTATGAATGTTGGAGGCCATTTCTACCATTCTTTATGCAGAATAAATGTACTGGGTTAGGCAGAAGGGTCTGGTTCAGGCCATTCATCACATCTCTGAAAAGCCTGCGGCTGGTAGTTAGAAAGAGGTTTTCCTCCTGCAGAATGTTCTCTGCAAGCTTCTGTCAGCCTACTGCCTTGAAGACAGGTTTGATTGTATTTTGAACATTGAATCGTTCTCATGGTTTTAGCAGAGCTACCCAAAAAGTAAAAATGTCGTTGCTACGTTTTGTGTCCTGACACCTGTTTTGCATTTCTCTCATCTGTGAGAGTTGGAAAATTTTCCAAATTATTGTGATTTCTGAAGGCAAAGGTGATAAATTTCAGTGCTCTAAATGGGAGATGGTGGATGTTGTGGCAGACTGAAAAATGAGGACCTTTGAGACCTGGTGGTTTTCAACATGAATCTTAGGGCAAGTTTTGCACTAGTGCAATGGTAGGATGAGAATAACTTGTGAAGTAGTTAGCCAGAAGGAGGTCAGTGCTCTGGAATTCATGCCGTATTATTTGCTCTTCCTGGCCAACAGTTTTCGATGTTGAAGAGTGACGGACATTGCATGCTCTGTTGGCAGCTAGGGAATTGCAGCAGAAAATGGGAGATGACAAACATCATCTTCATGAAGGTCACAGCACCTGTCATTGTCCAAAAGACAGTTGATGCATCTTTATACCTAAATGCAGTGTTTTTAGGAGAAGTACTTAAAAATGAAATCATGAAAGGAGAAAAACAGGACCTCTCAGAGGCCAAACTGAAAAATGTTGCACTGAGAAGACAAAAACAGGCCTGAACACTGCCATCCTGGCTAAAAATTATGAATTATTTTTTTTTTAATTGGAGATATTCTGTTCTTTTCCTTCTCCCACCCATTTCACATACATTCTTAGGGTCCCAAATCTGTTTTGAACTGCTTGTCTGCTTGCACAGGCTTTTCACATACCCTGAAGATGTTTCACTTCTGTCAGCTACAGTGAGAACCCTTCCTGGAAACATTTGCATCGCTGGAAGGCAAAAGCTAGTTGGAAAAGTGAATAGCACCTGTAGCGGTAGTACTGATGTCGCAGGTGGACATGCTGAAACATCAAAACTAGGCTCACTTCTATTATTGAAGCTTTCTGGGAACGAAACAGGTGGAATACTGGTATATGACCGAAAAACTTAATACAAAGTTTGCTTAGAAGCATTAACTAGCATGTTTTTAACATCTTAGCTGGGAATGAGGGCACCTCTCTTATTCCCTGGCAATTCACTCAAGTGGCTGTATAGAAAGTGTGATCACAAACCATGCAGATGTGACTCTGATTAAAGTTGCATGTGGCTACTTTAGGACTGAGTTTGATCCTGTTGCTAGTTGCATGGGTGTTTTTCATTTTTGTTCTTCCTAAGGCTACAAGCATAAACATCACAGGATTGTTGAGAAGATCTCATTGTATGAGATTTTTGTGTTAGAACCTCTTTGGTTAAGTGTTCTGAAGTTGTGTTGTATGTGTCCTCGAAAGGAAGCATTTGCTTATGTTTGAACTTTCCAGCACCTGAGTTCAGGCTCTCAGGTATCTTATTTCTTCAGCAACAACTGAGACAATGGTGCTTTATTTTTGCAGGATAAATATTCAAGCCTGAGGAGTCTCAGGTTTTGGTAGGTAGGCAGTGACGTTTGCTCTTAGGGTTTTGTTGGGTTTTTTTTTAAGTTATGAAGACTTAAATTTTGCAATGGAGCTTTCACAGATATTTGGTGTCAGCCCCAGTGTTTCCCTGGGTACATTGCCCATCAGAAGTTGGAAATTCAGCAAAAGTTTTATCTTAAAATTTTACATTTCTCTTAATGGCTGGGGACTTAAATCTTTTTTGTAGTTGGTTTCCTTATATTGCATCTTAAATTTTAACCATAAAAAATAATTTATGAGGATTACAGTTTCTAAAATCAAGCTAAGAAGTGCTCAGAGCACTCCAGCAAACTTAAAAACTGCAAGGTAGGGCAGACACCATGTGTTCGTAATACTGTGCAATATCCTCATCCTCACTCTGCTTGGATTCAGTCAGTACCTGTGGTTTCTTTGCGCATTAAATCTGCAGTTTCAGGTGTTTGGGTAACTCTTCCTGCACTCCTGTGGAAGCCCTGTCTTTAAGACTTACCTGCAGGGATGCAGCTACATCCCTGTAGCAGTAGGCACTGCTGCAAGGACACCCTTTTTACTATTTATGTGGATAGTGCTTAGCATGGTGGAAATAAAAAAATCTTCCAGAACCTATGGTTGATATTTTGCTGGCAATAAAAGTGACAAGATAAAAAGAGACATTAATATATTTAAATATTTTGTCAGGTTAAGCTTAGTGTTCTGGCTCGGTAGCTTCCAGCTTGATTCATGTAGGCTGGGCAGGGGAGGAGTCCATGTTACATTTCATGAACTGACTTGGGATAACTAAGAATACTCTTAATGTTACAGCTTGGTTGATCTGCTGATGAGCTACCGCCAAGGGGGAGCTTTCTTCATTCTCCCTTCCTTTCTTACAATGAGCTGTCTCGCAAAGTTAAACTGAAAAATAAACTACACTTTAAAAAAATTGGGGGTTTTGCTGGTCTGTCCCCCTAAGCAGTCAGACAGTGCTATTGCCAGCACAAGGAGGGGACTGGGATTGTGTACATGGGGGTGAAGGAGTGAAGCCTCCTTTGATAGCAGCCGGCAGTTCCATTGCCTCAGCCTTAACATTGGTTAAAAACCCAGCCAAAAGGACAAAAAGTAAGAAGTGAAAACTACTATGTTTTATGACACACATACATATTAGAGTTTTGTCATTTTGGCTATGGAAAGTATTTTTCTAAACTGGAACAAAAATAATTAATGTGTCAATCTTTCCTCTTTCAAACAGGAAGCAACAACTTTATATGGCTCATGCCTGACAACATGCACCACCAGTGGCTGCTGCTAGCTGCATGCTTTTGGGTGATATTCATGTTCATGGTTGCTAGCAAATTTATCACATTGACTTTTAAAGACCCAGATGGTAAGTTCAACTTTAATGTTTGATGTGAAACAGAAAATTGAATAGTGCTTCACACAAATACTCTTTCTGTGCAAAGTAGTTCTTGGCATGTTTTCACTTCTTCAGTAGGATTGAGAATAGAACAACTAAGTTTCTAGAAGCGATAGTGCTGATAGTCAGTTTCCACTTTTCTTGGTAGAAGTCTGCAAAACTAACATCATGTCTTGTTTTTGGTGGTTAAGAACAGAGGGGATCATGTTTGGCACTACTGTCTTGTGAGGCCAGCTTTTTCAAAGACACTCAGTTTTAGTACCTTGATCTACTAGGAGTAGAAGTCACGTGCAGAACAACAGCACAATTACGTGTTTAAAGACAAAGGAGATTCACAAGGAATCGAAGAGTTCATTTCACATGACACTAGTTTCTGTCCTCTTGTGACTGCTTGTCATGTGGCTACAGTATTATGTAAAACTTGTGCAAAGTTTTATTTCATCTGCAATGCACTTAGCTTAGCCACCTCTGCCCTGCTTCTTGCATTCAGTTTTATCCTCTGCTGTTTGACTGACAAACAGCTTATAGGCTTTTGCTTAGCTTAAGTAGCCCAGATGGTATTAAGCTGATGAGGAATTTAAGCCATTTGATGACACCAGACAGCATGTTACAGTTTTCCTTCTGCTGAGGAGCTACTGTTACAAAGCCATCCTACAGAGAGTTTAGGGTGAAGGTGATGTCATGACTTGCAGTCCCAAGAGATCTGTATTTCTGCATCTTCCTAAGATATGGAAGAAATGTGTAACTTCTGAAGTGCTGACATCGCTAGTGCCATTTGTTTCAGTGGCTCCGTAATGGGTTAAAATATTAAGTAGCATACCTCTGTGTGGAGATTTATTGAGCAAGTCTTACAGATGAGAACTGTAGGCTAACTTAGCTCTCCCCAGCCCCAGCTGTTCTTGAGCCCTAGTACATCTGCAAATAAACTGGCCTTATGTTAGGTAGTTAAATCTTCCAGTATTTCATCCTATGCCAACTATTGTTTCCCAGTTCAGGTGTTCTTTTAGTGGTTCTTTCCATCAGAATTTGTCAGGAGGATTAAAATGTAGTTTAAAAAAAATTACTACAGTACACCCTTTGCATTTACTTGCTTTTTATTTTCTTGGATTGCCAATTTTTATCTTTTTTTTTGTTGTTGTTGTTGTTGTCTATGCTGAATCTTCCTTCCCATTTGAATAATTCTCCAAGCAGAAGATTGTATAATTTCTTAAGCTCCAGTCCTGCAAAGGCATGACTGTGGTTAAGTGTATGTCTGTGTTGGAGGTAACCAGTGTTTGTACTGGGACTAATGAAGGGAAGTAATTCGAATATAGCAACAGAATTTTGGAGAAAGTCTGAACAGGATAGTCAATTCTGGAGAAACTCTTCTAGACTTAATAAAATATGGCATGTCAGAAATTTTCCTTATTTGGATGTGTGTATTTAGCAGCTAGAACAAAACCAGCAGATGCTCAATGAATGCATTTTCTTTTGTTTAAGCCTTTTACTCATGTCTTGGGTGCATGAGTAATAGGAACTTCTTAATGAGAAGGAGCAAGTTTTTGTCCATCATGAAAGGCCATCAGTCCAGTAATAAAGGAAGAATGGATCTTGTATTTATTGCTGGTTAGAGGTGTTTATTTAGAGTATCAAAGAAATAAAAGGTGGTCCTTAATGACACTTTTCTTCTGGTAATGTCTAAGAGTTTACAATAGAAGAAACCTATCTACTAATATGAGGGGAGGGAGAAACTTGATAGATTAAGTTTTTTATTTGACATGCTTTGGGAAGTTTATCGAAAAATAAAAATCTCCTACTGTCAAGTCCATATATTTATACTCAATTGTCTACCGATTGTGATATTTGGATTTATGATTTCTATGTCTCTTTGCACAGTTTGTTTAAAAAAAGACCAAAATAAAAGATAATGGTCATGTTTCTTTGATAAAACTCAACTGAAGTTGCATCCAAAATTCCCATAGAGTACATCCTTTAAAATATTCATAGTCTGTCTCATGTCTTGTCTAGTACCTTCCCATTTGGAAAGCAATCCTAATGTTTTGTAACCTTAATACAGAAAGTGATGTTCAGTTTGTTGTGTTAGTTGTAAAGCAGAAATAGTTGCCTTCCCCCCACCTTCTGTAATGCTCTTATCTCTATTCCTTCTTTAGGCTATGGTGCCAAGCAAGAGCCATTGATACTGACAGCTGTGACAAAAGTGGAGGAGGTACATGTGCCAGAGGAAAAACATTGGCCTGAAGAATTCCAGGTGCATACTGTTGAGATAAGGGTTACATGTATTAAAGAGGGGTAGAAAATAGGAGATTAACTAAGGGCTTCCTGTTGTTAAAAGGAATTGCTAGACAGGAATTATTTATTCAGACTGTTCTATTTAGATAGAGCCAACAGAATACATTTTAGCTTCACAAAGCTAGTTTGTTATGGTAACCTGCTGTCTTGTTTCATCTGAATGATTCAACTTAATGTGTTTCCATTTCTAGGAGAAAATTGTTACAGTACTCCTTTATCAAGTCAGGACAGTCATTTTTGCTAGCCTTTTTAATATAATGACCCAGTTTTGGATTACTTGTATTCTTCCCTGCCATAGCCATCAGGTTCGTGATTCTTGAGGACAAGCCTGTGTCTTGTCTAGTCTCTTAGTTCTCTGCCCAATCTCTCTAATTCTTTTTTTCAGTCTCCATTTCTTTTTCATGTTTTGTGTTCTTTGTGCTTCGCATCTCAGCATTTTTCCAAAGTAGAACATGAACACAATAGTATTCAATACCAGTTGATCCTTTAGATGCATAGTTCTCTGCTTTCAGCAATAAAGCACAACAAATGTGGTACTTGCAAATTTGCAAGGAAACTCTGAAAAATCCCTTACGCAAATATAAATTTGAGACTAGATGCACAGTGGGCTAAGGCCAATTTTTTTTCCATTGGTTACATAAGTCATCTTATGTTTAGAGTATTTTTGTGATGCAGCATGGAAGGTAGGTTTCTGTATAAACATGATACTTTTTATTTTCGGATGTAAAAACCTGAAATTTAAGTTATCCTCAAAATACTTGGGAGAAACACTTTGTTCAGTGGAAGGCTGGCAGATCTGTGTAACGAGTTTTAATATCTTCCTTTACTTGTATGGAAGAGGATAATAAGGTTTCTGGATCTAAAACTATTCCCTCTTGACTTCCTGACAGTATGAAATGCAGAACAATAATATTAATGCTGGTTGCATGCAAAAGGAATTGTTTTGACAGATAAACAATCTGTCAGGCTGTTCGGATTACATTCTGACTAGGGAATATTGGAGAAGAGTAACAAGCAGAAAAAGTAGAATGTTTTGTTTTGTTTTTGTTTTTTTTTTCCTTACGGAGGATTGAGACAAAAAGTAAAATCATTCCCTTTTCATGTGTAGCTTGGATGCTGTACCTAAAAATTATAGAATGACAGAATGGTTTGGGTTGGAAGGGACCTTTGAAGATCATCTAGTTCCAAGCCCTCTGCCATGGGCAGGGACATCTTTTACTAGATCAGGTTGCTCAAAGCCCCATCCAGCCTGGCCTTGAACACTTCCAGGGATGGGGCATCCACAGCTTCTCTGGGCAACCTCTTCCAGTGTCTCACCACCCTCATAGGAAAATATTTCTTCCTTCTATCTTACCTAAACCTACCCTCTTTCAGTTTAAAACCATTACCCCTTGTCTTGTCACTACAGGCCCTGGTAAAAAGTCTCTGTCTTTCTTATAAACCCCCTGTAAGCATTGAAAGGCCAGAAACAGGTCTCCCTGGAGGCCTTCTCTTCTCCAGGCTGAAGAACCCGAACTTGCTCAGTCTGTCTTCATAGGAGAGGTGTTCCATCCCTCTGATCATTTTTGTGTCCCTCCTCTGGACCTGCTCCAACAGGTCCATGTCTCTCCTGTGCTGAGGACCCCAGAGCTGGACGCAGTACTGCAGGTGAGGTCTCACCAGAGCAGAGTAGAAGGGGAGAATCCCCTCCCTTGACCTGCTGGCCACACTGCTTGTGATGCAGCCCAGGATACAGTTGGCTTTCTGGGCTGTGACTGCACATTGCCAGCACATATCCAATTTTTTCCTCCACCAGTATCCCCAAGTCCTTCTCTGCAGGGCTGCTCTCAATCAGTATGTCCCCTAGTCCGTATTGATATTGGGGCTTGCCAGCTGTGTAAATCATTTAGTGGAAGGAGGAAGATTTGTCAGTAGAAATTTAAAATTTCCCATCACCTGTTAATCAGACAAGCTCCTTTTTCCTCTCTCCCCACTAATCCTGAGGCGGAGGTGGTTGTGGTTCCTGTCTTAGTCTTGGAAAAATGAGACATAACAAGCAGTTCATCCATTTTTGGGGAGAGGAGTCCTGCCTACTTCTCTTATTTGCCACAGTAAGCACTGATGCTCATTGTGTAAATTTTTGTCCGCTTAATTTTGTTGCAGCTTGGGAAATGAAAACACTGAATGCCTAGAGGTGCTAGAAAGCAACACAGAACTTCTATCCTAAATTATTCCTTCCCAGCCAGATGGGTCAGCATCCCTAAGCCCCATCTTCTTGGAGATTAAAGCTTAATTTCTGTTGAAATTTCTGTCCCAACCCCTCACAAGCTTTCTTACTGGCTGTTGAAGTTTTGTGGGAGTTCCAGTATTTGGTCAAGGCATGTTTTATCCACACAGATAAGACCCTGCTGCTCTGCAGTGGACTTAAATTGTTGTATGGAAAAGCTCTTACTACTGTCTACTACTACGTAATGACTTGAGAGTCGAACCAAGGTGTACAGCAGCAGCATGGGAAGGAAACTCTGCTACTCCTTTAGTTAATACATAGCAATGCTTTAATTGTGAATTTGGGAGTCATTAGGATGCACAGTTTGGGGATTTTTATACTTTAGAATTTGATCTGAAAACTAAATTCTTGCACTTTTTTTTTTTCTTTCCCCTCTGCATTTCATAAAGCCAACTGGAAAAGCTTTTTCTGGAAATCTGATCCGCCAACCCCTCGTTCACATGGAAAGACTTGAGCTTCTCAGGAATGTCTGCAGAGACGCTGCATTGAGAAATCTCTCTCACACTGCAGTTTCCAAATTCGTCTTGGACCGAATATTTGTGTGTGACAAGCACAAGATCCTGTTTTGTCAGACGCCAAAAGTGGGCAACACTCAGTGGAAAAAAGTCTTGATCGTTTTAAATGGTATCTACTCTGCTGTGGGTGCGTGGGTTTCTTTGAGGAGGAGGAGGAAAGAACAGAATTGGTCCAACTGGAACAACACAAAAATGGATTCTTTTTGCTTTTCTGTGCACTGATACTTAATTTCAGCCTTTCGTTCTTCACAGTTGCTCCTAGTCCTTTCAAAACATCCCTTTTAAAGAAAATACACCTGTTCTTTCTGTGAAAATAAATACTTATTACTTAGCTTAAAAGTGATTTGAGTTATGAAAGAGTACCCGTATGCATGTGATAGGTAGATTTGTTATCTTTGAAGGGGTGGCACTAATTTATAGAATTTGAAACAAGTAAATTACAAGGTATCACAATTCCCTAAGAAACAATAATATAAAATTTCTGACTTGGGGACACTGACTTTTAACTAGCATTTTTTAGCCATGAAGGAGGCTAGTTAAAACTTGGCAGCTGCTATTGGTCTGTACTGCTGAATCTTGTGTATGTGCTATCAGTGAGCCATCATAGCAGTTACGAAGATTTCTGAGGTGCTTAAGGCAATAGTTTGGTCAACAAAGGTATAAAAGACTAAAAGAAGGAGTAAAGGGACTAATGCGTTTGAAAAACGATCTGCAAGGTGAGCGTTGCCTGTGGATATGTAGCTTACCATCCTCTTCTAGTAACCTGGTATGCCAATAAAAATAACTCATTTCCTTAACGTTTTCTACTGTACCTGTGCACATAAACTTAACGTGATCGTATTTAACGTAACACACCCGTGTTTGACAGGAGACAGTCTTGCCTGTCTGTGAACCAGGGCTGTGAATTTGCTACATATAGGCAGGTCAGTTGAGGTCCTTCTGTGGTTTTGCAGGTAGCATAGCTCACCAAGATGTGGGCAAAACCTGAACGTTGTAAACCCAGCTTTCTTGTTAGAAGCACCCTGCGAACACCCAGCTCTGCACTTGTGTTTTTATGTTTTCTTTACTTTGTGTGAACTAGTTTGCACACCCAGAAGGAAACAGTCACAAACTGGCAAAGGAACTGTGTCCCTCAGCAAAGCTTTTGTAGCAAGGAGTATGTCTTTAAAAACTTTAGTATTAGTTTCAACTCTGATATACAGATGGGAGCTGAAAATCTAGCAAAGATACGCACGCACATAGGTATGGGCATGTGTCTTAAATACCTGTGAAAGCCACACTCCAAGAAAGTACTAAATATGAAACTGTATGAGTGCATTAGAAGTACCTGCTCTTATCAGAATTTAACAGAGATAACATGCAAAGAATAGTTCAGGACAGGCAGGGATGTATTGGCTGCATTGAGTGGAGGATAACTCATGTCTTAACCAGCAAGGAGCTTTTCACCTTGAGCTTCTAGTTCTAGCATGTTGGATAATGATAGAAAATTGTTTCCACATAAACACTGGTCTCTTCTGCCTTGAGCTGCCAGTGTACTAGTTATCTGCTGCTGAAGACTACCAGTGCAGGTGACCTAACTTTCTCCTCTTTGGGTAGTTTCAGCAGGCAGGACTGATAATTGAGGGGGAATACTTTACATACCTAAGTGGTATTTGGAGGTTCAAGATGGAGAAATGCAGCTGTGGTACTGTGGGGGAGTTAACTCTGCTGTTGCTTGTACTGAATCTCTGCTCTGGATGAATGCAAAGTTTCAGTTTCTGAGGCTGTCTAGTCTGACATCTGTTGTCCACATGTAATTCACTCAGAGTACCGAAATATATAATTAGAAAACTGAAATTAATAAAATACACCACCACCAAAAAAAAAAAAAAAATAGAAAACTGAGAAGCTGAGTGGTGTGGACTATTCACTGCAGTTCTGGAACAGAGAAGGCTGTAGAGGCTTTCACCTAAAGAGCTTGTTTTGTATCCCCTGTTCTTGTTGCAGGTCGGTACTCTGAAATGCTGTTGTTGTGTGAAGGCTTACTCCTAAAGCCCAAGGGGTCCACATGAGATATTTCTGAAGGTCAAAAAAACTTCCAGGATCAGGATCTTAAAATAAATGCGTCAGAATTTAGTGACATTGTTTTTCTTGTCAGCCTATGTGCTTGCAGAAATTAATATTTGGAGACTTTTTATGTTAATTTTAGTGCTTTTTAGTCTGTGTAGTATGGTATGATTGGAATTTTTGTTTCAGCACAGCACAGTTGTGAAAAGAACTTCATGGATCCTGACAGCAAAGTGCTTTTGTGTTGAAGCAGTTCCAAAAGCAGCCTACAGCATTTATTTTTCGTTGCTGGTAGAAACTCAGCCAAAAACCTGGTTCCTTCTTTGGAGTTAATCCTCAAAGTCTTCCTCCATTTGTATGTGTGGGCAGAGGGAAAGAGAATGGGGACACTGAGGTGGGGAGTTACAGGCTTAGACATAATTGCTGATGAAATTTGCGTAATGTGCTTTTCTGAGAGTTTTGAAGCCATTTGGTCTTGGACCTTGATGTCGCATACCCTAAAGAATTTTAACAGTTTTCAACAGTCAGAATCTCTCATCATTTAACAGTTTTAAACATAGTAACTGTAAATGCTAAAAATACAGAAAAGAGAAAGATAAAACAAAAAGCTGTCAGCAAAAGGCACACATGCTTCCTTGTACTCACTTTTTTTCCCTTGAAAGATTCACTTGCTCTCTCTCTTTTTGATTTGTCTAGGAGCATTTTCTTCCATAGAAGAGATCCCAGAAAATATTGTACATGATCATGAGAAGAATGGCCTTCCAAGGTTGTCCTCCTTCAGTGACTCTGAAATTAAAAAACGGTAAGAAGTGGCTTCCCAGGGGTGTGGGAGGGGTTTGGAGTCAGTGGTGTTAGGAGGAATCAAGACTACAGCTGAAGTCCACATCTGGAATTGAGGACAAGGGGATTTCTGCTCCACCACTTATATTATGGCATTATTCTGTTATCCTCACAGACTTTGCTGTGACTATACCTTCCTACTGGCTTTGAAGGAGAACGCCAGTGTAATTGGTGGTAGGTGAGCCAGCCAGCTCCCTCTGGATGTAGGGTTTGTGTAGTTCAGTGCATACCTAGTTGTCACATAGCTGACCTTCAGAAGGGAAGTTTTGTTGGAAGGTCCACCCTGATGCCTTGTAGAGTAAATCTTGCTGCCTACACATCACTGCAGGCAGATTTACTTATTGGGATTGAACTGAATAGGTTTAAAATGTTAGTGCTCCTTAGCCTGAGAGAATTGTCCATTCAGCTAAACCACTTTATCTTCCTGTTTGGGTTCTTCTTAGAGCAGAAAAAGTACTTCTCTGCAGTAGAGCCTTCTAAATTACTTTGGCTAGATTTTTGCCTGGGTCTGCTCTCATCCCTACTAGAGCCTATGCCATATATAATCCCTGTAAGGGGTGGCAGCATGGGGAGAACAGGACGTAAGATGACAGTGGACACTTGTAAGCTTGCATGGGTTTTGTGTGTATTAAGTCATTCTGAAGAGTCAGCCCATTATACATGTGGTGTCAGCTATGAGTAGAGGTCAGTCCAAGGTTTGGTGCATTCAGTGGTACAAATACAAATTTGTTACAGCTGTGCCTGTGGAAGTGGGGTCACTTGATTGTGTTGATAGTTGTGTGTGAGAAAATACTGTCACCATGTTCTTGAGAACGTGGATCTGTTCTGCCTCCCTGTGAACAGCCCTGCATAGAAAGTGACTGTTCACCTGGGGGGTAAGCCACAGCTAGGGTATTTAAAATTGAATGCTGTTATGATTTGGGTTGTTGCAGTCAGCCCACCACAGAAGTTGTGCTGGAGATGCATAGCATGGATTTGGTTGGGAATTCGGAAATAAAATATCAGAGAGTTTAGGTGGAGAGAGAGAGAGGGATGGTGTGGATCTGTTGATGTAGTTTGCTGACCCATAGCCCTGCCTGGTTAGGAGTAAGTCAAGAGAACCTGAAGACTGATCCAAGTGCCTCTTGATGCTGGAAAGAGTCCATCCCCTTATTTCAGTGAGGGTTGCGCTCCAGATTTCCTTTCTCAACTATTTACTGGAATAAACTTTGTTTTCAATTTGCTCCTCCTACAGATAATCTCTGACTGCAGAATATTACAGCTTGGTGGTATCACAACAAAATATGAACTTCTGTTGAAAACTGTGGTCTCAGGAAAATAATGTTCTTGGCCATTACTGAAAGCATGACAAAACATCAAATGAAATACCAGAATTATTTTTTTTTTTACTTAAGCAGTGATTTGTCTAGCTACCTGCCAGTGAAAAATGCATCCCTCTCTGCATTTAGCTGCACCAAACCACTTTTTCCATGTCGTTGTGCATTTTGCTTCTTGAGCTTAATCACATGGCATTAAAAAAATCTTTGACTTGGAGCTTTCAGCATCTTTTCAGCATCTTTCGTCTCCTGTTTATATGTATTGAGATAAACTAAGCTCCTCCAGTTTGAATAAAATGTGAAAACTAGGATGAACTATTTCCACTTTGTACTGTATACAAAAACTATTAGTAAAAAAGACAGAAATTGTGTTTCTAGTTCTATTGATTATAATATTGGTAGACTATGCAAGTGGTGTAAGATTCATATTGCTGTGTCTGTGGTCTGTTTATGTACATTTTGTAAGTCTTTGCTAAAAATACTTTAAACATTTTCCTTAATTATTTAATTTCTTTTTTTTTTCTTTCCCCTGTTTAGACTGAATTTATACTTCAAGTTTTTTATTGTTAGAGATCCATTTGAAAGACTTATTTCTGCATTTAAAGACAAGTTTGTGCACAATCCTCGATTTGAACCTTGGTACCGGCATGAAATTGCTCCTGGCATCATTCGTAAATACAGGAAGAATCGCACAGAGACCAAAGGGCTGCAGTTTGAGGATTTTGTGCGCTATCTGGGTGACCCTAATCACCGATGGCTGGATGTTCAGTTTGGTGACCACATCATTCATTGGGTAACGTATGTGGAACTTTGTGCCCCCTGTGAAATCACGTATAGTGTGATTGGACACCATGAAACCCTGGAGGATGATGCTCCGTATATCTTGAAAGCAGCCGGCATAGACCATCTGGTATCGTACCCCACGATTCCACCAGGCATAACAGTGTACAACAAAACAAAAGTAGAGCGGTATTTTTCAGGAGTTAGCAAGAGAGACATAAGACGTCTCTACGCACGGTTTGAAGGTGATTTTAAACTCTTTGGTTATCGGGAGCCAGATTTCTTGCTTAACTGACACCTAGGATAAGCTCTGAAGAATGTGTCATGGATGAATCTAAACCTGCGTGAATACCAGCTGCAACACTGACAGAGCTGAGAATGACCATTTGTTTTCTAGCTTTTTGATGTTGCTCCATTTTTCAGTGAAATATTTGTCATATGAACAAGTAGGGGCTTATAGTTGTTGTTTACTGACCATGTTTTCAGTATGTGACATTGCAATCTGTTAGGAATGAAGTGTCAATCTGAAATACAGAATTCCCCTTCTCCCCTCTTCCTTCCAGGGAAAATGAGGGAGAACGAATCGGCTGTGATCTTCCCCTCCTTCTCCCAGACATAGTGCCATTTTTTTAAATGTTGTAAAGTATTTATAAAAATGGCAATTTCACTGTAGGTTAACTCTGACACATGGGTGAACTTGATGATTCATGCTCATGAGAAAGGCATGTAGTCTCCCATGAGCTTTGAAAATGAGAGGCCCGTGCAGGACTAAAAATTGATTAAATGCTTGACAAATAAAATCATCTAAGTTCTGTCATGTGGCTGCTATAATAACAGTAATGCTGATCTAATCCCATTCTTGTTTGTCACAAAATGAACCTAATTAGACAGAAGCTTTAGAGGTGTTAAAAAAGGCACTGGTTCCAGAGCCCAGTTGTCTTTGTATTTTTGTCAAGTGTTTACTGTACTTACTACTGATCTATTGAGCCTCATAATTCTACTTTGGATTTTCAAGATATTATTTAACTCCTGGCTGTGTAAGTTATCTGAAAACACCGGATGCAAATGGAGCATAGAAGAAATATGAAACTGCCAGGGAAACTTTAAGGAAAGTTAATTTAAAATGAAGTATTAGTTTTATTTGTGGGAGCACATATAGAAACCACGGGATGCTCTCACACAATTTAACTTGTTTTGTCTTCTAACAGTTAAGATTAATAAAGAAGCCACAAAGGCGGGATATCATATAAAAGAGCTGCTAGAGTTACTTGGGTTAATGATCTACCTTTTTCTTATATCCAGCCTTGCTCAATATTCAGTACCTCAGAGAACAGAAAACTTATCCCCCTCTGAAAATTTATCTCCCTGTTGCTAAAGGAGACAGGATGAATCCCTGATTTTTCCAGTGATTCACTGCTCTGGTGTCCCGACTCAAAAATGCCCAACATTTATGTTACTGATGGGGTGAGTTGGCTACTTGCCATGAGTCTGAACGTTACTTAAATTTGTGTACCCATTTTATGCATTAAAAAAAGAAAAACAGAACTGAACGGATGCAGCCATCATATTTGCCTGTGCTTGCATTGTGTCTAATAAAGAGCAGTCTCTTGTTTGAGTTCACCAGCAATAAAAATCAGTGCGCTGCCACCTCATCCTGCGGACCATAGGAGAGAGAGACCACGTATCTAAAATACAGGAATTGCTCTGTCACAGTGAGCATGTGAACTGTATTTTTTAAATCTTAGTCCCAAAAGATTAATTTTCAGATCAGCATAATGTTGCTGGCTAGAAATGCTAATGATGGCCAGTGCCATGGAATCTGCTCTTAAATCCAGCCACAGTATGTTTTTGATAGCTTCCTGTATCAACACAAGGAAGCATCTTGCACTTGTGAAAAAGGAAAGCTGTGCCAAGCTGACATGTGCTGCTATCCACAAAAAGGAAGCCCTGTTGTAGCTGGAAATGATTTCAGAAAGATCTCAACAGACTAATTGAAATAAGGGAGAATCATTAACGGGGCATCATTAGCAAGAGAATAGTCCAGGGTGACAAAGCTGGAAGGTGGAATTTCTTAAATTTTTTTTTTTTTTTTTCAAAACAACAATTACAGTGCCCTAACTTGTTAGTTCTTAACCAATGATAAAAAGATGTTAACAGCTCCAGGTTTTTCTGTGATTTTCTTAATATGGGAACTTAGCAAAATGTACTGTTAAATGCATTTTGGAGCTAATGACCTGATTGATTACCTCTCTGCCAATTTAAAATGTAACAGTGAATAATGTATAGTAAATTCAGGCCTTAAAGTTTAATTCTAATAAAGATAAAGTAGAATGGTTTTCCTCTGAATGCATAAGCTACTGATCACACAGAATGCCAATGTATGTTTTTATTTTTCTTGGTGAGTTACTTAATGTATCGACTGCTTAAAAACTGCCAGGTGGAAGGTGCTACGTAAATATGAAGTAATAATATTTTTTTCTAATAGCTTTCTCTACGTTGAGTTCTCTCAGGCATCTGACAGCAAATGTGAACAGAGCTATGGACTGACATAGGCAGAGGTGTGTACTGCTCTCCCAGCTCCATGCTCCTGTGCTTTTCAGGCTGGGACTGGAACACTCGTTACCATTTCTTCAATTCAAGCACAAAGTTTCTCCTTTCAATGACAACTTCCTGAGCTATATTTTCTTTCTAGAAGTGTGGTTTTTTCCTCACATGGCTGAAGTAATGATGTCATGGTTTTGGCATGACTCTTGGAGAAACTTGGAAAAAATGAAAGCCCTTGGTGAGGTATGGTAGACTTCTCTTTTTGTTAGTCCGGTGCAGGTAGGGTGGCCAGAGCATACTGTGTTGGGGAGGAGGCTCTTGCCCTGCTAGTTATGATGAATTAAATGCTTGTGTTTTGTTTTAGCTTAATTGTACTCTATAGAAGGCTTTTACAAATTTAGTCCCAGTGGCATGCGTGAACATCGTTTGGCTGTTTGGATGTCATTTAAATAGTGCTTTCAAACTGCAGGTGATATTTATGTCATATTTTGGGAACTGCTCGCCCAGATGGTTACTTCTCTTTTCTTATTGTTACAGCTTCAGAAAACAAATTCACATCCTTTGTGCATATCTGTTTCTTTTTGTTGTCTCTCCTCAGCAGCTTTTGAATCCTCTGGCCCATTTTAACCACATTTTACAGAGGAAAGGCGAGCTCTTAGGGATAGTGAGTTGCAGTAATCTTGAAAATAGGAGAGGAAATGTTCTTTGTGCATCAGAGAGTCCGTGTTGTATGTTAGCTTTAGGGAAATTACAGACAGGAAACAGTTTTGCTGCTGCTTGTCGTGGAGCTCCTTGTTTCTCATGGACTCCCTTCCCTAGTGCTCTCAGTCTGGCCTCTGATCTCAGCTAAGCAAGACAAAAGTCATGAATTAAAATGTATTCCAGGGGTCTGTTATCTTCACGTTCCTTATAAAATTAAGGATGCTTCTAGAGATCAGCTGACCGGGGGGGGGAGGTCTTGGGGTTTGTTTTTTCTTCCTTGTGGTGAAAGTGGATCCAGAATTCACTTGCTCTTGAACCAACTTTAAGGGTAATGCCGGTCCCCTTTTCCTTTAACTTCAACACTTGGTGCGTTACCACCGGCATGCTTTCTGCTCACGTGCCATGAAAATGTTTTTCTGTAGTTAAACTATGCATGCGATATTTTTATTTTGGGAACTGTTCCTTAAAAGAAGTAGCAGTTCAAAAGTGGCCTGAAAATACATATCTTTCACAGATAAGCATGTTGTTTTTCTATTTGTGCTTAGATGCTGCCCTGTTTGTACTGAGGGTAACAGCCCCCTGCTGCTACTGCTTGTCTCTGTCCTCAGATCAAGGAAGCCATCAAACAGCTCTGGCTTCTGTGAAACATTACTTTTTCCTTGAGGTGTTAATAACTTTGTTGGCTGGGAAAGCCACCTTTGATCTTATCTGCGCTCCAGAAAGTTTGCTGAGAAAAGAGTGATTATATAGGGATTGCTTAAGCTTATGTTCTCAGATGAAAAAGAATGTCTCGTCAGTGTATCTGCCTGTATCTGATATCCCTTAATTGACAGAGAGAGGGTGAATGATCTTTCTGCTTAACAGCCTTATCGTGATTTACACTAAGCCCCCATCCTATTATTACGGCAATGTGAAGGGACCTGGAAGGAGGTGTAAATTCAACGTGTGCTTATTTTAAATCTGAGTGTGTGAAGGAAACTTGACACAGGAGTTGGGCCCTGAAGATTTATCGTGGGTAATTGCTTGTTACATGTCATCTGCAGAGGCTGGTGCAGTTTCTTTGTGGCCTGCGCTTGAGAAGATTTATGCAAGGTAGAAAGAGGCTTGTGGGTGGTGGAAAATTCCCTTTCAGCCTAAGTTAGCTGTGCGTGTTGTGGGCCGCTGCCGTGAAGAAGGTTTTAGAAGGAAATGATCCTATTAGCAGCAAAGCCTGCAGTGCTTGGGCTGGTGAGCGCAGAGTGCCTCCCTCCTGGAGGAGGAGTGAGTTCAGCTCGCGCTGATGTGCACAGCTGACTTGGGTGCTGCCTTCTATAAATCTCTGGTTTTGTGCTTTTAATACAATTGTGTGCAGCTGAGCTGTTGTCTCGCATTCCTGCGTGTGGCAGTAGCCTGAGGTGCCTCATCTCGTTGCCACCAGAGCAGCTTTGAAAGGCTTGCAGCCTGTTATGCTATGCAGCAGGAGACATTTCCCTTATGAAGCAAGCAGCATTAGGCCTGCAGCCATGCAGCTGGTGGCAACAGGCTGGTGTAAGCACAGAGATGGTGCTGTTGGGGGCTAGCTACTGTAAAATCATCATTTTTCCCTTTTAATCCAAACAGGGAAAAAAAGATGTGTGTTTGCTTTGAGTCATGAAAAGGAACTGTGCCGATAGAGATTCCAGGCTGGTAAACCCAGGCAAGGCAATGTCTGGGAGAACAACGCTGAAAAAAGCCGTGGGCAGTTGCTTTACAGCCCCCCGGAGCTGCTGGACAGCATGTTGAAGGAAAGTTGCTGAAGCTTTATAGGAGGTGTTAAGAGGAGAAAGTGTGCTCCCCCATATGGTATATGTGCATGCCAGAGGAGCAGCTGCCGATGGGACAGCGTGCACATGGCAGGCTGAAAGCATGAAGCATCTGCTGCGGGTGTCTGTTTGAAATCACAAAAAGGAAAAAAAAAAAAAGTGGAAAGGAAGTAATGAAAAAATAATCCTGAAGGTTGCACACCTGGAAATGCAGTACCCACCCTAACTGCCAGAAATACATTGACCACCCTGGATGTGTACAAGTCATTTCTGAGCAGTTTATGGGACAAAACCAAATCTGCAAATAGGAGGGTAATCGTGGACCATAGGGCATCTGTACATGCTCTGGAAAGTTATTTAATGCTGAGAAGCTAGCCAAGGCTCTCAATCGTGCCTAAATAAATGGATCTCATCTAGGAAAAATGTATAGCTGTGCTGGAAGCATACAAGGAGAAGAAAGAGCTCTTGTGGAATAATGAGCTCTTTCAACAACTACATTATGCACCTACTGTGATTTAAGAAGTAGGAAAATTTAGTCTTGTAGATCTTTTTTTTTTTTCCTCTTGTCTACAGCCTTTCTGTTCTGCTCAGTTTTCTTTCCCATGTCCCGAGAAGTCTTTGGATGATGCACCACAGTATGACCTGTTATTCTTCTTTTGTCAGAAGGGTGGAAGAAGCTGTGGGAAATACAAAATGTTCTCCATATTTTTGAGGAACGCAAAGAGAAAATTCAGGGAGTTGTTACCAATCACGAATGACTTGTGGTGACTGTGAAACATAAAGATTGCATGAGCTGCTACTTAGATGTTTCATGTGTTGGTCAGGAATTCACTTATGGAAAAATTATCACTGCTCTGTTCTGTATTTGGCATCTTTGGTTTTACGTTTTGAATGGCTTCCAGTAAGGTTTTACAGCAAGTAAAATTTGAAATCTGCCATACCGCAAAGTTTCACTTTGGATCCACCTATTTTACTCTCATACTACTTTAAGCATTTTATAGAGTAAGAGTTGACTCTTTGCACTTACTCAGTTTCCTCGGTTTCTGACTGTTCTTTGCAATGCTGTACCATTTGTGCTTGTGAAAAGGCAGCGAGCAAGAAGACTCAGCAAACACTCTGGAGAGAACAGGACTCTGAAGTGGACCTTTACGTGTATGCCTCAGTCGACTTCACAAGCTTCTTTCATCTGCCAGCATCTGTCTTCCTTTCATTATCTTTTCA